CCGTCATCATTCCTGCTCTTAGAAGTAGCAATAGTTTGCTTTCCATTGTCAGTCCTGCGTTTCTTTCGAATATCATTTTTCTGCACGTGCTTTCTTTTCTTAACTCTCTCTTTCCTAGCACCGATTGCAAGAACAACTTGACTATCTGGACTGTTGAATCCATCAGAACATTCAGAATCCTTCTCTGAAGCTTCATCTTCTTGTTCTGAATTCACCAGTTGAGAATGAGATGAGGCAGGCGCGGAAGGAAAAGTTAACCTTCTGGTTGGAGGTGCTTTTGCTGGAGGTGCATCTACCTTCTGTTCATCATCATTTTTCTGAGAGGAAGAAATTCCATCTGTAGAACCAACCAGGGATGGGCAACCAGGCTTGATGGTGTCTGGGTCCTCCCCTGGGGACAGATCTGGTTTACCTTCCAACGGCTGAACTTCAGGTGTTACAACAGAATTCCCTCCACTCAAAGACCTCTTGCTTGGAAAATGGGAGCTACCAAGTATTCGAGATACATTTTCCGTGCTAGACAATGTCTTGGATCTTGACCCACTAATTTTCGTCCGAGCTCGCTTCAAACTGGAATCGAAATGGCTTATTGGCTCAACTGAATCATTTTTCGAGCGGCACTTAGGACATTGCCATTTCCCCAGTGGAATCCGCTGGAAATGGAAGCCATAAAATGAAGACAACTAAATTATCTCAATTCAAGTACGATTAGACAAATGACAGCAATCAAGGCAAGACCCCTCAAATAGCTATTGAAATACCTTGAGAGGAGGATCAAGGCACTCGAGATGATAGGTCCGGGGACAGCTATCACAACATAACAAGTCGCCTCCAACATCACAAATAACGCATTCGTAGTAATACTGCAAGACAAAATGTTACAAAAACCACCAGTTAGAGAACAGTAGATGGTCCTCAACAAGTCCTTAACATCAAAATGATACGATTCCTCAAAAACATCTAATTGACACAAAGAAGGATAAGATTTCATCCTGCAGACAAAATTTGTCTACGGTCACTGTTATGATTCAACAAGGGTTCAGTCTAAACATAAAGAAAAACTAGAAGGTGCATGACAACTTAAAAAACAGCATAGTTACGAATATACAGAAGTGGCATGTGATGCCAAACGAATTAACAATATATTACCCCATCAGTTCCTTTCTTCTTCGATGAAGACAAATCCAGAGAAATTTCAGATTTTAGCTTGTTCCTGGCAGAAGTAGTAGTATCCGGGAACTCCAAGGCTACCGAATTCTGCTCTTTACCATTAACCAAATCCAGTCCACATGGCAGCTTTCTTCGCTTGCGTTTCAAGACCCAGTTTTTGTTACTTATTTCATTCGTCAATGAACTGTCGTCCTTCATCTTCAAAATTCTTCCTCACATTTGCAGCTACCATGTGGCCTAAGCATGTCATGAATCAATTGAAAAGATAAGTGATACTTCAATGTGGCCAAAATCCTGTAAATGCAGCTGAAGTACATCAGAAAGAAAAGCAAGGTATGCTATAACAATGCAGGCAGTAATTAGAGATAATGGATCCTAAACCATGATCATGCATTACTTTAGTGTAAAAAACACATAGAGACACAGCCAAACTGACAGCAATGAATTCAGGGAGGAGAAAAGGAATACAGGGGATCAAGAGAATTCACAGATTGGACTGAAGGAATGGAGGCATTCAGTGTAAAACCAGGAACATAGTATAGTGTTCAAAAAGTTTTACAGAAACAGGAAAAAAAAATACTTTTAAGATGAGATGAGAAGTAGCATCAAAATTTACAAACAGGACTAAAACATAGAAATGCATAAAAAAAATTGCTTGGCCAAGAGAATGACAGGATATAATCTAATCTAATGATAATGAGAGGACGAGCGAAACAGAGTTCCCTGCACAAAAGATAAAAATACTGGCACAAGATGGGTATCAAGGACACATTATTCGGATGAAGACTACAACAAGATCTGTTCATTTCAAAAGCAACCATTTCAACCCAAGTCTGCCCATTGAAGATTTTCATCGTCCCGCTTATTATCAACTATCTATATACAAAACTTAAAGTTGGATAATCAACAACAAAACACTTCAGGGTGGGCACCAGCATTATATCTTGACTGAATCATCAAAATGTTAGATTGCATCGGGTCCAGTTCGGTAGCAATGCAATGCAATCCGTTTCTAGTAAATTCCCCAGTTACGACTAAAGTGACCGGAAGAGTACCACAGTCTCGCAACACCGCGATCAATAAGATTACACAGTAAACCTACCCACAAGCTAGACCTATTCACAAGTACCAGCAGTTATCAAGAGTAAACGAAGAATAAACATCACATGAGACGCACAAATCCGCCCACCAGATTGACAGAGCACAAGCAACCAAGCCCATTCAAACTCAAACCACATGTACCACTCCCACCAACTTGCCACCAACAAGACTCCCAAAACCCCCAATTGCACAACCACCAGAAATGACACAAACCCCCAACAGAACAACGCACAGAAAACACAATCCACCAGCAATCAAACACAGAGAAGCACAGAACAGAAGGAACAAACAAGCAATCCACACAAAGACAAGGGCTTCCACTAACAAAAGATCACAACCTCGAAATGGGCAGTGGCAGGACAGATACCTGAGCTCGGAAAGCCTTACCAGGGGATCAAAAGATACAGACAACAACAGCCCGGATTGAGAGATGCATGTCCAGGCAGACCCCAGACAGAGAGGTGGCTGATTGAGAAGATGGGTGTGTGAGATTTAGGGCATGGGGGGAGCAAAAGAGGGAGGCTGAGATACGAGGAAGAGAGAGAAATGACTTGGGTGGGCACAAACCACGAATAAATAGAGAGAGACGGAGAGAGAGAGAGAGAGAGAGAGGGGGGGGGGAGAAGGAGAGGGACTGCTTCTAGAGAGAGAAAATAAAGGCGCATACAAATACGGGTTCGCCGGGGTCAGAGGACGGGGTTACGCCCCGACAGGCATCGAACCGCGCCCCACCCACGACACACCCAATTTGTAGCTCCTCGAGTCGAGCCCTCCCTCGTACGAAAGAGACCTCCTTTGCCCGCGCCTCCCCCATCATCTCTCTCTCTCTCTCTCTCTCTCTCTAACCTCTCTCTTCGTTCGATGCACCTAACCAGTCGGGGCGCGCCACGTGGCGGCACGAGGACTCGCCCTCACCCCCTCCTCGGCCTTCGCTTGCTTCCCCTTCCTTCCTGGCGCACGCCCCCCCTCCCTCCTCCTCCTCCCCCGCCTTTTCCCCGCTCCTCCATCCCCCTCCTCTCCCTCCCTCTCTCTCTAGAGAGCGACAATGCGTCAGACATGGGTAGAGAGAGAAAGGGTTAGAGAGAGAGAGAGAGAGAGAGAGAGAAGGTGGGGGTGGTGTTCATGATGTTCGTCGATGTCGAGTGCTCCCAGGTTTTCGACGGCCCTTTTGCGTGCTCCCCCATTGCGCTCCTTTGTCTTCATCTTTTGCATTCCACGGCCTTTTTGTCCCACCCCCTTTTCCCCCCTTTTTCCTTTATTTCATTTCTTTGACTTTTCTTTTATCTCCCTCTCTCTCTCTCTCTCCCTCCCCTCTGAAGTGGAGAGAGTTTGGAGATTCATGGGGATCAAATCTCAAAGTGATTCCATGGGGGAAATATTGAATCACTCAGTTAATTGGATTCTTTACCATTCATCACCATGATCTTCTATCTTGTCTTTTTTTTACCTATTAGATTCCCGCGCACCCTCAACGACATTCTATAAATATACGCGATGGTACCGGTAATTTGAACCATGGAAATTTAGCCGGTGAAAAGCGCGGGGCGACATCTTACGGTCGGTGAAGTTTTTTCTAAAAGCGCGCCGAGATCTGTCGAGACGTGGATGTTCTATATATGGCATATTATTGAAGCTCGATTTCTTTAATTGACCATGAAATTATTGAGCATCGTACGATCAACGGCATTCCACAAATGAAAAAAAAAAACTATTATACCGGTAATTTGAATCCCGATATTCTATTTGCGAAACAAACGAGCAAAAGTTATTGGTGCGCTATCGTACGGTTATAACTCAAAACGCATCTGGAGATCTCTATCTCTCTCTCCAAGTACTGTTTACCGAAGGATTTATTCATATCTAGTCGGGAATTTTACTAAGGATAATAGTCCTGAATGTTGTCCAAATGCAATATTGTATAATCGATAACACTCGTATATTTTGATACTCGTTAATTATATTGAAATAAACTTTTTTTAATTTACTGATCAATACTAGATTCTGGTGATTTTCGATGTAACTACTAGCTTCGTCGAATAATTCAGCTAATTTCGCAACTGCAGCACCCATAATTTTCAATAGCTACGAGTTAAATTTAGATATCAACTTATCATCGATATATTTTTCTATAAGTGATCACCGATATTGAAATCTTGGAAATATTTAAAGAAGTTATAGAGTTAGATTCTTTGATTTTCAAGAAGCAATAATGTCTTTAGACAAGATCAACCAACTAGCAAGATATAAGAGCATACTTAGATTCTGTGCCTTGTGAAAATACTTTTGATCCTCATCACCCATTATTCATTGTTTCACCAGGCTTTTTCCCTATTTTTCTAACAAATGCTTGAAACTCTCCAGATTAAAGCCAGTGTGACAAGAGGAACAGAATTTCTGCAAATGCTTGAAGTTTGTCATTTTGCTGGTGGCATAGAGCGTCGACTTCTGATACTAAGAAGAAATGGCTTGAATGAAGAGAGGGCCTGTAAGCAGAGGATTGCATTGGAAAGTTGGTAGAGACAGTTAGACAACGTTGGAATCACAGATGATTACCTCATACTCATCTACTCTTTTTGCAGCTAAAACAGATAGACTATGTTGAAACAGTAAATACATTTGAACAGAAAAGGCTGAGGAAGAAGAAGAAGAAGAGTCGGCAGTATCGAGCATCATCGAATCCTCGACATCTTGAATAGCAAGGAACTAATTGGCATTAAGAAGATCAGTAATAGTATCACTAATCATGCAGACTTGATGCATTTCAACTAGAACGATTCACTCAGCACACAAAGGAACGATGAGAAACAGATTATACATAGAATACCTGGCCAACATTCAAAAGACTCTCATGAGGGACATTGAATATCGCACTGTTCTCTCGGCACATCTTCCTAAGCAATGCATACACGTAATTTATGGTTATCAGCTTAAAAAGGTTCGAGCCCCGCTGAGCCTTGACAACCGTGTTCCCCAGGATGTGCACGATGCCGGCTGCCCTACAGCAACTCAAGAATTCTATCTCGTTCAACTCATTCTGGCAATGGTTCCCCCGATTAGAAGTTGCGGAGCCCCGCGCATTGAGATGCACCGGAGATTCAACCGGCACGATAGACCCCACCGACGAGATCGTTAGATCCACGATGGAGGAGAGTGTTAGGCTATTGTTGTCGTCGTCGTTTGGGGGGCACTCTTCGGAGTTTGACTGTTGAGTTTGCTGACCACAAAAGCTGATCTCCGATTCGGAACACTCTTCCATTAAATACTCAACCCGGACAAACATGTGGAGGCTTTCAAAGAGCTTCTCCTCGAAGTCGTCGTCCTTCTTGTGAAGGTCTTTGTAGCCGTATCTTGCAACGCATCGAAACATGTGGAAGTTCTTCGGCCCGATGCGTCTTATGAGGAATCTTTCTTCTACAGGGACTGTATATACAGGAAGGTACTTCACACAGACGAAAATGACTACAGAATGAATTGCCGGCAAATTGGTGATGAAGTGAGAGAAGATAGGAGGCACCCCTCTGGCTAGCTCGGTGTACACAAGCCCTATGCCCGGGACACGGACAAGACCCAAACTGGGGCCTAATCCAAGAATGTACGCCATCGAGACTTTACTGTGCATTTCGAACTCGTAGCGCTTGACCGAACCATAATGCCAGGCATACATGATGATAAAGAAGGCCCCCGCAATCGCGAGTGGGACCCACCCGCCTTGATTCACTTTGAACAGCACGGCAGTGAAGTATGTGCCTTCCACGATCAGCGACAGCACGGTGAAGATGACCACCAGAATCCAGTGGCACCGCCACACAAGTATCATGATTAGTATCATGAGGAATGTCGTCACGAGCATGACTACCGCCACAGCTGTACCTGTTGATAAAGAGAATGAAAGTGAGTCGCCCTTCAGAAAAATTGAGAAAGCGGTTTCACTGCAAGAATGTTCTATCATCTCCTGCTTCATGTTCGTCATCCTAGTATTCACCTTTTTCAAAGTTGCTGGATAGAGAGTTCAGGTCAGCCATTTGTAGTAGTAGATGCTTATGCTTCAATTAGACTGGAAAGACAGAAGTAACGAACAACATACAATATTTCAAATTACCAGAAGCATTTCCAATTTGGGTTTGATTTTTAAATCCCGCCGTGACAGCTACGCAGAGAATCATGAGGACCCAATTGATGTCGGGGATATATATCTGCTGAAGGAACTTCTTGGACGTATGAACAACTTTGACTCTTGGAAAACAGCCGAGTGCAAGGGCCTGCTTGATTAATGAAAATGTGGCAGATATTGTGGCCTGACTTGCAACGATGGCGGCTGCTGTTGCAACGAGGAAGACCGGCCAGTATATGCTCTCTGCATATATCATAGGATGCTCAATTTAAATGAGTCTGAAAATATTCATGTTGAACATTGTGTATTTATTATTTCCACAAAATCTCGAAAAGCATTGAAACGGTTTTGCTGTAAGAATTTTGAAGATGTTCGAATGTATATATACTGGTGGCTCAAGGGTGACGGTATTGAGGGTCAAATCAACTACCCATGAAAGGGAAATTTCCTATTTAATGCTCCTGAATTTTCAATAAACAGCATTTTATTCTCATCCATTCTTCATAAATTGTGTCCTTAGTACGGCCACTTAATTGCCAGCTTTCCTAGAGAATGCACCATAATATTGAGCTAAAAATAAAGTAAACCTGGAATCGAGCGGTAGAATAAATCGACCACGTGATCGGGGTTTCTAATGAGAAACGCCGCTTGTCCACAATAAGCTAAAAGAAGGGCAGGAAACACGACCACAGTAAAAGCGATCTGTATGGATGACACTGGAAAGTGAGACAGATCGGCAAAAACAGCCTCCGTTCCTGTAGAAATTTCTACAGTGAGCAACTATTGGATCCTGAAGTCACCAGTTTTGCATGCATTAATGATGCATCTACAGGTCCCTACATTATAAAACATAACAATTGATGTCAAATTAATGAAAAAGACATTACCTGTTATGCTGAGCATTGTACCTCCAAGAGATGTCCAGCCGTTGATCCCTCCTTTCTTGAAATAGAGATAGATGTAAACAGGTGAAAAGGCTTTTAGAACATGGGTATCGTACTTCCAAATGTTAATGATGCCAATGCCGCCAATCAGAACAAACCAAAGAAACACGACTGGAGCACAAAGCCAAGCGATTCTGTCTGTACCATAGTGTTGTATGCTGAATAAACCAACCAAAATTATGACAGAAACAAGCACAACGACCTCTGCATAGAACAAACATGGATTAGCAACTTTAAGCCAGAGGGGAAAACGTTAACTGTGGTAGATGGAGAATCGACTTTATGGAAGAGTCCACTTCCAAGAACTTGGGTAATACCATCACTCATCTTGGGCTGATCTAACTTAATCCCACCGGCAGCCGAGAGAACTGCCAAAGTTAGGGAATATAAAAACATAAGACGGTTAGCCAGCTATAAAAGAAAATGTAAAGACACGTAGAAAAAAGTTCAACCTCAAATTAATGTAAGGTTAAATTAGAAATTAGTATACTGTTTAGACAGTTCTGAGGATGCGAACATCACAGAGATTAACCAGAGAAATGTTAGCAGACAGAACTTGAAAAGGCATACAATCCCAAATATTGATACTATCCTAGGAAAATTGCAACTTTCAATCAAGTCAAAACCAAGGTCTGAAGCCTTCAGGCACATCCTAGTTCTTGACTAGCAGAAGTCCGCTCTTTGGCTTTGCTATATGAATTTCAATGACACAATGCTTTTAAATGGTCATATATACGACTTTAATAACTGTCACTTATGGTCGCATTGCCTTGCAGAAACGTAGCATTTATTTGATATTTGTAGAAGTTTTTTGCGTTAACGATACTTCAACATATGCTAATGTAACCACCGCCCTCAGCGGCTACGCTGGCTTCGGGCTCCCCTCCCCCCACGAAGGGTAGGAGTTCGAATCCTAGTGCTGGCGTTAGGGATTCTTAAGCGTGACATCGTGGTGGTGGGTCCTGCGCTAGCGTCACCCCGAGTTTACCTCCTCGGCTGTCGGCCGTGCAGGGGGTTCCCGGGTTACCAAAAAAAAACATATGCTAATGTAGATACAACACCACATCCAGGAACAGATGCACATAAAAAATTAGATCGAAAGGCCTTAAGTTGTTTGGAAAGTTACCCGATATAGCTGGAGTGAGAATCCCATCTCCAATTACCATGCAAGATCCAATAATGACTAGAATGAGGAGGATGCTCTTTCGATACCGTCGCCCCTCCAACCATCTCTTTGTCTTCGCAGCAAATGAATGTTCAACGAATATAGAGCGACTGTAAGTCGTTAGCTCCTCGTCGGTCCGATCTTGGTTGGGAATAGTTTTGATATTTGCATGACGGCAAAGTAAGGAATAAAGAGCAAATGTTCCACCTGCAAATATGGCAGAGGCCTTGAAGGACTCAAAGGTTGCTTTAATGATAGCCCTCGCACAAAGAAGGAGATGGCACATAACATCAGGGTGACAGAGGAAAAAAACGCAAAAGAGGTTCATAAACAATCATTTTCTAGTGTGGTAGTAAACTTAGGATTACTCATATCCTAATCTACATGCATCTGCTGAGAGGGACTGAGAAAAAATCACTGATCACTCTGCAACCCTCCTTTTCTCCAAATAATTCAATTTATTTCTTGCGGTAATGACAAGAAGTTTACGGGTATAGTATATTTACCTTGGCCACTGTCATTGGCTCTTGAAACGATGAAAATGTACTTAATGAGCGGTATGAGCGTTAGGGAATATATAATCACTGATAAAGCTCCGATAACGTCCTCTGGATCATTAACGCCATTAGGGAAGGTATTGTAGAAAACGTACAAGGGAGATGTGCCCAAATCTCCAAAGACCACACCGAGGCTCTGGAAGGCAAGCCGTAGCAGCAGTAATGTGGAAATTTTCTGAGGGAGACAGAATAAAATTAGTAAAAAGAACTGATTCATTTACAGACCACTGATTGCTCTCCTTAGTGTCAGTTGTGGAACCAGAAACTGTATAATCAGGAGACACATCTCACGTCAAGCAATTAATATTGGAGTAGGCCATGTGAAGATTGATAATTACATCTTTACTTCATGCCCATATTTCATAGGGATAAAACGTTCCAACCTTCTCTCTCTGTGTGTTTCGCAGCTTTCCGGCCTCCTGATCCATTGGATTATCAATCGCGTGATCCAAAACCCATACGCTATTTGTCTTGTCCGTGCCATCGCTACTTTGTTCTCTTGAAACCATTTGCAAGAAACCCCCTCTTCGCGAAGTATCTTCCCTTGCGTCCCCTTCTGCTGTATAAGAATCTCCTACCTCATTCTCTGTCGTAAAACAGACACCTCATAAGCGAATGTGAGCATTCATGTCCAACATCTGGGAAGGGAATATATTATTAAATAGTAGTGAAAGACATTTGTAATCAAACCCCATCGAGACTTCTCAGAGAAAATGGCGGTATAACAAGAAGACATTAGTGACAATTCTCTATTCTTATTGGGCACAAGACAAATATTGAGATACTCAAGGACTAATCAGACTTGGCTTTTGTCACTCGACGGTATACCAAAAAGTACTATGCTATAATCTAGCACTTATCTATTATACCATCATGTACTTCTAAGAACCTCATCTGCAGCAACTTAATCGAGTTTTGGCAATATGCGAGTGTGCCATGCCATGCACGTTTTACATAATACGGTTCATAAACATGGTACGGCAGAAATTAAGTGGCTTTTTAGTGCTTAGAAACGGCAACTCACAGAGCACCATTTCAAGGTTGTGTGATCAACTTTATGAAGAAGATTGATGCCATTGACTGTGTTAGAACCCAGTAGAAAGATGTTCACATCAGAACCATAGAGCAAGCCATCAAAAGCGGCATCACAATTTACAGAGACACTTTCAATTCTTAAATGCAGGGTGCCAAGGATTGATACCTGAGATTGCTGGCAGATTAAGGGAGATGTTCCTTCAGCTTCAGCTTCTAATGGAACGACAACAAAGTTGATAAAGAGACAAGAGAAAAAGAGAATCTGCAATATGTCAAGGCAAAATGTATGAAAAAGATTGATTCAAAAGACAATGTGAACATCGATTTCAATGCATACGAATTTAAAAAGGCTTTCATGCAATTTGGGTTACGAGATTCAAGAGGGAAAAACTCAACCCCCTCTGAACCCGAAAACCCAAAATTCACCAAAAAAAAAAGAGGGGGAGAGAAAACCAGGAAGAAAAAGGACATATATCAGATTTTAATGGAATGTATCTCGAATCAGCAAAAGCTCACATCTCCAGCTTTGCGCTTCTCAAAGAAAGAGAGAGAGAATCACCATTTCCCGTCAAGAAAAAAAAAAGGGGTGCCCAGTCGCTTGCCAAATATAGCATTCGTCAAAAACTCGGATTTCAACAACTTGCTCATGTTCAGACCAATGAACTCGCGTTTCCAAATCGCAACTGTTTCAACGTGTCCCAGCTAAATATAACCAAACCCCATCAAGCTACAATCCAAACAAAACATACCCAAGAACTAGAAGAGCAACACAGCAAACCGAGTGCGCTTCAAAATCTGAACTTGAACAGACACAGCTCAAATGCAAGAACGAACCGAATGTGGGTGTGAGCAAACATGCCAATCCACAACAGAAGAACAGGGCTCTCTCGCATCAGTCATACCTCCTCCTATCAGACGAGAAGAACGCATGGCAAAGTCCGAGAGAAGTCGACATCAATGCTGGCCAGTCACTGTGCGGTGGAAATCATGGGGGTTATCTGTAATCATCGTCGTACTGTGCGAAAGATGGATGGAAACCGTCCGTCTCAGCCGCCAGAAGCAATCATGGCCGTCCAACTTTTCCACGGCCAGAGACAAAACACCATATCAACGTCACCGGGGACAGAACACCATCTCGAACGTGACCCCAGTGTTCCCCCGTTCACACCAGTTTTTCAATGAAAGGACGCAAAGTCTCGAGATTTTTTAATATGCAGTTGCTACGATTCTACACGAACATCAATCAAGCACGAGCTTTATCTAGTAATTTGTTTTTAATGATCATTTAAGCAAATCAGTTTTCAAGATAATGTTAGTATATCCATCTATTAATGTATTGAATTATGAATTTTGATGAATTCTCGTAAGAGTTTTAATAATGCAGGGATATACCCTTCATTCAAGAAAAACGAAAGTTAATATCAAGATTGTAAATCGGTACGAACGCCTTTTATGAAGCTTAAGATCGTGAACGTCGATCACCCCTCTTCGCTGTTCTCGCCGTAAAAAAGTAGACTCACTTTGATACACGAGAATATCGATTCGAAGGTCGTAACCAAAATCATTTTTTCTTCCAAGTTAAGAAAAAATTGAAATGAGATAGAGAGAAGCGTCTAGTCTCACGTTTGGCGGGATGGAGTTTTCTATCTGAGCATTTCTTGAGCTGATAATTTATGTTATGAAAAGAGCTGGAACTGATCTGACTTGTTGCTTCTGTTGAATATACTATACAATATAATCAATCGCGACATAAACTAACAAGTACTTGGCAACCACGTGCATGTTCTCAGTCATCAATATTTTACATTACCCACCAAGAGCCACACTGTTCTTGCGATGAGATCTGTAAGATTGGATCTGATATTTTGGAGGTTAGACTCCCATTGAAAATGGTGGGATCTGTACATAAATGTCCTGGTTCTTGACCCATTATCTCCTACGAGTGAGCGTCCACCAGAACAATGGCCATTTCAGCTACAAGTTAAACCATCAAGGGACAAGGCTGATGCAGACGAAACAATGCATGTTCATGAAGGTTTTCAATATCATCACCAGTTTCGGCCAATCTGTACATTGCGTTCAAGCAAACCCTTTTGGTCCCAATGCTTCATAAGAGACTAGGAAAAGCTTTGCGCATATATATATTTGCTCTCTTCCCTTATTGGCCATACAACAGAAAGAAAATTACACGTAAAATATCTGTCCAACATTCAAAAGGCTCTCGTGGGGAACATGAAAGATCACACTGTTCTCCCTGCATATCTTCCTAAGAAATGCGTATATGTAGTCGACGGCTATCTTTTTGTAGAACCTCGAGTCCCGCCTCGCCCTCACCACCGTGTTGCCCATTATGTGCACCACGCCTGCATCTCTACAGTTGTTCAGAAACTCCAGCTCGTCCGTTTGGCTGCTTGCCTGACCCGACGACGCCGTCATGTTGTTGGCATGCGCCGGGGACTTGACCGGCACGATCGAGTCCACCGATGAAATAGTGGTGTCGACCGAGTTGGAGGTGCCCCCGCTTTTCATTATGAGGCCTTCCCTTGATCTCTCGGTTTGCTGCCCATATAGACTGTACTCATCAGAGTCTGAACACCCTTCCATCATCGACTCGAGCCGAACGAACAAGAAGAGGTTATCAAACAGCTTCTTCTCGAAATCGTCATCCTTTTTGTGGAGGTCTTTATATCCATATCTCGCGACACACCGGAACATATGAAAACTCTTCGGGCCAATTCTTTTCACGAGGAACCTCTCTTCTTCAGGGACTGTGTACACAGGAAGATATTTCACACAGACAAACACCACCACGGAATGGATAGCAGGGAGGTTGGTGATGAAATGGGAAAATATGTGTGGGACGCCACTAGCGAGCTCGGTATAGACGAGCCCAATTCCAGGCACTCGAACCAGTCCCAGGCTTGGCCCGAGCCCGAGGATCCATGCCAGGGAGACCTTACTGTGCATCTCGAACTCGTATCGCTTCACTGTTCCGTAATGCCAAACATACATAATGACAAGAAAAGCTGCTGCAATCACTAGAGGGACCCATCCGCCTTGATTGACCTTGAAGAGCACGGCGGAGAAGTACGTGCACTCCACCACCAGCGACAAACCTGTGAAGATCAGGACCAGACTCCAGTGGCAATGCCATACCATAAGCATGATCAGAGTCATAAGCAAGGTGGTCGCAAGCATGACTATTACCACAGCAGTTCCTGTTAATGTTGCGCGAACAATCTATCAGGATTTGATTATAGAATGAAAGATGTATGACAATTACGAGATATTCTGGTAAACTTACCGTAGGCGTTTCCAATTTGGCTTTTATTCTGAAACCCAGCAGTCACGGCAATGCAAAGAATCATCAAGATCCAGTTAATATCTGGAATATATATCTGACCCAAGAACTTCTTCGACGTATGAACTACTTTGACTCTGGGGAAACAGCCTAGTGCAAGTGCCTGCTTGATTATCGAAAAAGTGGCGGATATTGTGGCCTGACTTGCAACTATAGCCGCTAACGTTGCAATGATGAATACTGGCCAATAGATGCTATCTGTAAAATGAACGGAAACTAGCGTTAATAGGAAAAAAATTGTTGTAAAACCAGAAGAGTGTTTTTCAAATCATGAGTGTGAACATCCCGAGAGACTGTGTATCCTTGAAGACAATAATAAAGGTACATTGCGCAAGTCCGAACATCCCCTTAATTAGATCTTGACTTTGCACACTAACAGGTTTCCGAGTCTTGCAGACTTCTGCTTGAAGTACTTGGAAACACTTGCTCACAACTAACAGCAGAGACGCAGAAATCTGACGAGGCAAAAGCCCTCTGAAACTGGCTATAATTTGTTTGTCGATTTTTTAAAACTTAAAAAAGATACATACACATTTCCTGTTTTTGGGAGATTAACAAGCAAGTCCTAAAACTTGTCACAATAATACACCTGATTCCTAAAACTGTCATTCCGTACATTCAAGTTTCAAAAACTTACAGCTTTGATGCACTTGAATCATTTCGTTAACTACGTCAGTTTTAAGTAAACGGAAAGTACCATGCGGCTCTTTTATGGTATTTGTCAATCTTTTGTAGCTGTTAATAAAAAAAAATATCACGTAGATTTTCCATCCACTAAAATTACCGAGTTAACAAGAGGATTAAAGTGGACAATTGTGAGAAGTTTTAGTAATTAAATGCACAAAATACAAAATTTACGACTTGAATGCATCGTTTTAACGATTTTTAGGATTCCAACTATAATTGTCCCCCCTTTTTTTACTTAAGTAAACACAATGAGTCCCGTTGTCCATCTATAGTTGCACTGAACATTCTTCAACAGAAAGACTCGTCTAAGATTATACCTTGACAGTGTATTCACTTCTCAGGCACAATTTCATTCGTAAAAACAGGCCAGAGTGCTTGTGGCAAACCTGGAATTGAACGATAAAATGCATCACTAACATGCTCCTTGTTCTTCATCAAGTACGCAGCTTGTCCTGTGTACGCTAAAAGAAGGCAAGGAAAGACTACTACCGTAAAAGCAATCTGTATAGCTGACACTGGAAAATGGGCTAGATCTGCAAAGAGGGCTTCGGTTCCTGTCATAGGATCAAACAGTATGACGAAATATCTGGTGCAACTAGAGCATCTTAGGTGTTGGCAAACAATAAAGTGAAGAAGGTATTTTAGGTAGCTAAAGAATAATGTATAAGCTTACCTGTTATGCAAAGCATAATGCCTCCAAGCGAGGTCCAACGATCCCTTCCTCCCCTTTTAAAGTATCGGTATATGTACACAGGGGAAAAAGCTCTCAGCACACTGCTATCGTATTTGAAGATGTTGACTATGCCAATTGCACCAATTAAAATGAACCAAAGCAGAACTACCGGGGCGAAGAGCCAACCAACTTTATCCGTACCATAATGTTGCATGCTAAAGAGACCTACTAATATTATGACAGCCACGAGAACCACGACATCTGTGTCAATAAAACCACAAACCCTTTAGAAAATTGGAAATCGATAGGCCAATTCAATGATGTAGTCCAAGAAGTGAGCTGTACCATTGCTCATGCCCGGATGATCTACCTTGATCCCACCAGCAGCCGAAAGAACTGCTTGAAAACGGTTGCATCAGAAGTGTCAAAGTAGATTTGTAGGCACTTCTTTAACATAAAAGATGTACTTGACTACAATCATGTGCTATCATTTTGAATCAGGCTCAGGCGGCCAATTTAGTTAGACAAAGCTTAAAAAGGTAAAAGAAATAATCAGACGAGGAGTGACAACATACAACCACCACCATATAGGACACTTTTAAACCAATGAAGGAGGGGAAAAAAAGCCGAGCACATCTAGTTAGTAAATACAGACCTGTGCCGAAAGGAAATAGGAAACATTTGCTGGCCTCCTCAGATTAATCATGGCAAACCAGACAGTTCTTTTCAGAAAAAAAAAAGAAAAGAAAAAGAAACATGATACCCATTTTATTACCATTTTCATTGTCAAGTATAAGGAAGCCATGGGCTGTAAAGTACATGCACGCACTTATGCTGCATTCTTTTGAAGTTGAAACAAATGCAGCATAATGCACATGCACTTCAATAGCATGGTATAAAAAACCAGTAAATTTTCTGATGTTTTGACACTTATACAGCATAAGGAGATCATGTCTCCACAAGCAATACTGTACTGGAGGAGTGGATCAACTTTAGTTGTTGTCCTCAAAAAAGTGGACAAACAGTATTGCGCGGCATATGGTTTCTGGAACTATCGATCCTGCAGTAATAAAGATTTACCTGATATAGCTGGGGTGAAAATCCCATCGCCGATCACCATGCAAGTGCCCACAAGGACGAGCATAAGAAGCATATTCTTCCTGGATGCATGTCTTTCCAACCATCCCTTGGTCTTTGCAGCAAAGGATTTCTCATGGAATGTGGTGCGGCTATATGTCGTTAGCTCCTCATCAGTCCTATGCTGGTTTGGAATTGTTTTGATATTCGCATGTCGACAGAGCAATGAGTAAAGAGCGAATGTTCCACCTACGCAACGAGGAGGATGGTCACAATTACAGCACTGAGCATCCTTAACATGTGTCTTGGTCCATCCCTTTGTCAGTGTCAAAAACAGTGAACTACTGGCTGCTAAAATGATATCCACTTACCTTGGCCATTGTCATTCGCTCTGCACACCACAAAAACATACTTGAGGAGAGGAATGAGAGTAAGAGAATATATGATCAGCGATAGAGCTCCAACCACATCTTCTGTATCGTCTATCCCCTTTGGAAATGTATTATAAAAGACATACAAAGGGGATGTGCCAAGATCCCCATAAACCACCCCAAGACTTTGGAATGCAAGCCGCAGAAGCAACAATGCCGAAAATTTCTGAAGTGCAAATCAAGTCAACTGCCAGAATTAATCGGAAAACCAGTGGATGATACACGTTTTGCATCATTTATTTACTATGGGCCTTAATTTATAGAAACTGACTGATGAGAACACGTCTTACATCCAAGATTAACAAAAGAAGAAATGATAAACTAAGCGGATGAAGATCAAATGGGAGCAGAAAAAAGTTGTCTATGCACACCGCAAATTAGTAAAAAGGTAAATAGAATATCCCAATCTTTGCAATAGAGAATATTAATTGAATCGATATTTTGCCCATTAAAGCAGTTAGTCCTCTTCTCTTAAGCAATAAAGTATACGCTATTTGGAAAATGTTGAGAGATCCCAAAATACCTTTTCTCTGTACATGTTTCTGAGCCTACCAGCCTCCTCATCCATAGGCTGATCAAGCTTTTGATCCAAAACCCACATGCCGCCTTTGTTTTCAGCTTCATCGTCCATTTCGACCCTTGAAGCCATCTAAAACTTTCTGCAAAGGACTTTGCCCTCTTCACCCAGCAACTTATGCCACCTCCAAAGTAACCGTTTCAAATTCTACTGCTTGTGCAGCTACTCTCACCTATGTTGACACCCGAAAAAGACATGCACTCACAAACCCAAGGACCAAAATCTTCCCCTCGAAGAAGAAGGTTGGAATCAGTTGAATCACTTGGGATCAAGCATCAAATGAAATCTAATGGTCCAGCTGAATCAAGAATTAAAACTTCCCCCAGGAAATCTAAAGCAGGAATTACGACCAAATAAACTAGCCAACCAACATCACGGGGTAGTAGATGGTGAATCAAACCCCATTCATCCGAACCAACCCTTTTCCAGCACAAATGTTGCAACAGATTTCCAGGAAGCAATCAACCGAGCAAGAAAGTCGAGCGCAACCAATTCAAGCAAAGAAACTTGAAGCTCAAACTGATGCTAACAGCCTCCTATGAAACAAGTCAAGAAAGCATAATTCCGCAGCTTGAAGCTCCGAGTCAATTACAAACAAGCTCCTCCACCAAATTCGAGCAAGGACCCTGGAGAACGACCCGGGGCTGAAACACCCACCTCGAGAAAAAGAGAAATGAAACAGGGGAGACGGATACTTCTCCTGTCCTCAACACAGGAAATTATCAAGTGGGGTCAGCTCAACCAAATGATTCCCAACCTCAGCCACATGATGCAGGTAAAATCGTTCTCGAAACGCAAGTCGGCTTTCAAGAAGGAGAAAATGGAGGCCGTGACAGAAACCGATGGAGATGCAGTAAAACAGAGCAACTCCGTGGCTGCAGAGTCCCCTGAAACTTTACTTTTTTTTTACTTTAGAGAGAAGCCACGCCCGCCTCCCTCCCTCTCTCTCTCTGGAAGAAACGAGCAGACAAAACGTGGCGCCGCCGAGAGAGATGAGCGTGTAAGCACGTTTGTGTTACTTCGCTGATTCCCAAGTGGAACGCGCTTGTGCTATTAATTGTGCAGTGTGATTTATTATAACGTGGACACGTTTTTAGGGAGCAGTAGCATTACGTTTCTTTATTTTCTATCTTTATTTGTGCACAGGAAGCTTTTGTGGTGCTGTCATGCTGTGTGCCCAACTAGAGGGACCCTTGACATGCAAAAATTCCAATGACCAATAATGGCATTTATTACCCCACAACCGAGAATTCCCGGGGTGGGCCAATAAAACCGGTGACATATTTAATTTTTATTTATTTACCGTTAATGTTTAAAATGAAATTGAAGATGTTCTTGATAATTAGTGTAATTTTAGAATTAATGAGTTACGTGTAACATTGTAGATTTTACGGAGATTTTTTTAATTTGTGGAAAAATTTGGTCGGAGTAAGCAAGTACTGTTGTGTTTTGAATTGTTCTTGTCATATTTCTTACGTGCATATGTAACCGTAGTAGCTCCAACCTTGAAGGGACTTCCTCTGTGAAATGAGAGACGGATTAGGATGTTTTTTTTTTTTCTGTTTGGTCTAGATGGTCCGGGTGGACGATTCCACACCTGGAACGGGAACCTGACCGAAATTCACCAATTTCAATTTTGTGAGATTAGGAACCAGACCGGTACCCTCGAGAACCGCCCAGAACTGGCCCGTCGAGGCTGTTTTCGGTACGGATGGTTCCTTTTGCGCACCCCTAGTATTTTATGATTCTACAAATTTACAAGACACTTGGTTTTGATTTTTTTTTTTCACTTTTCTCCAATTTTATCGCTTGAACTTTCCATTTGGAACAAAATATCTTAATTTTCCAAAAAATATTTAAATCTAAATATTAACGTGTATAATCATATACAGTTCTTTGATTATTTATCCAAACTTAAAAGTATTTTTATTTTCGGAAATTTGAGAAAAAAGTAATGACCAAAAACTGTAATTAATTTTTCACGCACGTTATTACGAACTTTTCAATTCGACTATCTTTACCAAAAAAAAAACTTTTCGATTCGACTAGCCTCCATGGATGTCACGAATCGCCATTCCAATGCATTGGGTAACTAGGATATAATCCGTAGAGTGACATGCGTGGCCCCTGTAATTATTCTAAGTACGAGACTTCGCGATTCATATAAAAAATCTACCCGATTCAAAATCAAGCGCTCGACTAATTATTCGATTTCCTATCTATGTTGCTTTTGAATGCTAATAACATAATACATTTATATTATATCTATAAGTCTGTCAAGCATTCGATTAAGGGTGCGCTTGTTACCCGGAAAACGCGATTTGAAAAATATTTTCCTAAAAATGATTGCTTGTATCGCTTACAAAATGAATTAATAAAAAAATTTCATCATTCACGTAAATCTTAAGCAATAATTTGGTGTCGGTAATGAAAATATTTTTCATTGACCAACTATTTTAAGCAATACGAGCGACCATTTTTAGGAAAAAAATAATTTTAAAATTATTCATTTTTCCGTTAAACAAACGGAGCCTAAGTTCATCTTTTCAAAAGCGGGCCATCTTGTGCTGCATATTGATGGAACAAATCCGTGGATAAGAAATCGCACGGATGGAAATGAAGATGAGATTGTAATTGACGGAACCGCGAATTGGAACAAACTTATGAGGAGTTCAATTTTTAATGAACTTACTTGCTCATCTTTGCTTTGACGTGGAATTTCAACTTTGATAAAAAAAAAAAGATGTGGAATAATACTTGATATATTCTTATCTTCATCAATATAAACAATAAAGGGAAAAATCTTCTTCTTGTCTTCCATGTGCTCTCAAGTCTTTCTCTAATCAAGTCTTCATAATTACCATTTGTCTAATTACATCCTTACATTTTTACGAATTTTCTAATCAAGTCTCTCCGATACCAAACTCCAGTCAAATCCAGTTAATATGGCCGTCAGACATAATTAGGTCTCTGCACCCGTGCCGCTCGTTTATAGAAAAAAAAAATCATAAGGGATTTACTCCCTATATTCTGTTCCTAATTTACCGTAACTTCATTATGGCGAAACCCACTGTCGGAGATAGCCGATAGGCAGAGGATCATCGACTTTCGCCGCCCGTAGGGGGCCGTGGCCTTGGCAGGTGGACCGGCGGCGGCGGAGGGGAGGTGCTCTCTCCCCTCTCTCTTCCCTTTTAAAATTATACTTTTACTCTCTCTTGTTTTTTTTTGTCTGAAATAGCACGTCATATTAATTGTTGGACATAGAGTATTTAGTGAAGAACCCGATCCCACGAATAAAACAAGTCTTGAAACTTTGATTGTGGAAAATTTGAGATAATATATTATTCCATAATTAATTAATTTCTCATAATTTAGACAGATTAATCATAAATTTTTAAGCGATAGGATTTTCCAACTACTGTTCCATAATTTCATAGGTGAAGATTGCTTTAATTTGAGGAGAGAATTAATTCTTTCAATGGGCGACCGCTTCATAAAATATTGAATTAGCAACTTTAATTAGTAAAGTTCATGTTCGCATAAGAGAAAGAAATTAACGCCAAAATTATTTGACATTTTATTCTCTCTCTTTTTAACGAGCATTTTAACTTGAACTTCGCGGTCGCGCGGATATAACGTTTAGCTTACATGTAAAGCATAATGATTCACGCTCAAAAAGTTAACAAAAAGAATGTTGAAAGTTAGCGACCGTGGTTATAAATAATAAGTATGCTTGAGAGAACATACACTTATCATTTTCTTTACGCAAGAATATATTTCAGAATTTACCTATAAGTCGTTTCATGTGAGCAGTGATAATTAAACGGGTTTTGTTTTGTCCATATTTTCAATTATGTGCAAAACCCAAATGGTCTGATTTTCTTTTCTTCTCATCAATCGATCATATAATACACATCGCCCAAAATAAATATGTAAATTTATTATATTTGTTGGAACATATTTTAAGCACTTCTAGAACTATATTTCATTTGATAATAACGTCCTAGGTTTTCATCACCTAATGAGATTAATTGGCGCTGCTTTGTCATCATATAATCTCTTGTGCGAAATTGGACTCATTCAATGGGTTGATGGTTGATGACGTGTCTGGTGGACGATTGCAATAAAAATTTTGAACCTTATGCATTTAATATTATATGCACACTCAGGACATCTAAAGTTCCCGTTGATTAAACTTTTTTAATCTCAAATAATTGATATGGAATCCACTTTGATCACATCACTAATCTCTCGATGGTATAATAATTAAAACCAAAAGTATGCACTTTTTTTTTTATGTCATTTCCATTTGGAATTAGCAACGGGGACAGTCTGGCTTTTAAGAGGACTTGTGGAGAGCTGGGACCATTTTCCTATAGCACATGTACCAAGTGCCAATCGTATTCCTTGTACAGTGATGTGTGTGTGGACTCCTCCTCCTTTTTTTTTTTGGTAACCGAGGTGTCCGGGCCAGCTTGCGTGCACCTCGACTATTCCTCGGGAGAGACTAGCACGGCAACCCACCGCCATGGCCCCCCACTTAAATCACAAGTGCTCAGCCGGGGAATCGAACCTGGGACCAGTGCGCCTAACCACACAATCCCAAGTACGCCCTAACCAACTGAGCTACCCATGGGTGGGTTGGACTCCTCCTCTTTCATTTTCAGCCAACCGAATATTCGTTTTAATTCAATTTTTTTTATGGCAAGAGAAGTACATATTCCAAAAAAAATATTTGGCAAGAGAAGTGCATGTTCACTGACCAAAAAAAAAAAAAGAGTAAATGTCCCAATTTATAATTAATAGACAAAATAGATTCCATTGACATATCTTCCTTCAATTGTTGGGATGCAAATTAATTGATTTGGGCATTCGCCAAAACTCTTATTTACAGGACTATTTATCGAAAAAAAGATTTCATTCGTTTATCAAAATAATACCTGAGAGGTACATAAAAGGCTTTCAAGCCTTGTTCCGCAATTATCTAAGATTTACAAGACTTATTTGCAAGACTCGCGATTAAGCAAAAAGATCCAAGCTTTTACGTGGACAAATTTGCAAGACTAATTTGGTGGGCGTGCTAATGTTTGTAAAATAGATTGAATGGAAACTTGTAATGTGCAACGCATTGGTAACAATTCAAACCACAATTGTTAATGCAAAACTTGTTGATAACTTAATCAGATAAAAGTTGGTAAACATTTGGTAATTTCTAAACAAAAAAGTTGGTATATTTAAACGGTTGACAAGTAAATGTTGGTAATTTAATATAAATGTTGGCAAGTAGAAGTTGGTAATTTGACATAAAATATCGGTGGATTTAAAAAGAAAAACTAAATAAATGTTGATAAGCAGCTTAAACTGAAATTTGATAAATCAAAACTAGTGGGTAGATAGTAGGAGAAAAATCTAGTAAATGAAACAAATAAAATCTTGATTAATTTAATGTGTTTGTAAGAGAGACAAATAAAAGTTGGTAAACCACATAACAAATTATAAATTAAAGAAATAGCAAAAAAAAATGCTGGTAAGTAACTCACGTGAGAATGCGCATCCCAAAATTAAATGGTAACTTAATCTTGAAAAAAAGTTGGGGTTACCGAAATGAAGATTTATAAATGCAAATAAGGATTGATAAATATAAGGTGTTGGTAAGAAAGATAAATAAAATTATTAAATGATAAGGTTAGTTGATACTTTGTAAACTGTCAAATTAAAAATAATTTGTATTTTCGTTAAACTGTCTATAATTCACCGGTAGTTTACAAAGAAATCGT